TTAAAAAAAAAAAAAACTACAGAAAAGAAAAAAATTAAAACAAAGAAAATATCTAGATTAAAGATGAAAAATACATTATGACTAAATACAAACAAATATGACTCTGGATTTGTTCCTGAAAAAGACAAAATAGATATAAATACTTCCCTAAGACAATTAAAGAAGGTTTTTTTAAAAAGTTTATTTAGTTATTTTGAGAGAGACAGAGACAGAGTGAGTGGGGGAGGGGGAGAGGGAGAGAGAGATAATCCTAAACCGACTCTACACTGTCAGCACAGAGCCTGATGCTGGCTGAGGCTCGAACTCACAAACTGTGAGTTCATGACCTGAGCCAAAATCAAGAGTCAGACGTTTAACTGGCTGAGCCACCTAAGGGCCCCAGAAGTTCTAATATGAAACATGGCTTTATAGCTACACTATAGCTATGTAAGAAAATACCTTTATTCCCAGGAAACACACATGCTTTTTTTATGGGTAAAGAAGCATAGTTTTCAATATTCTTTCAAATGGTTTAGGAAAATCATTTTGAAGAGAGGAGAGAAGAGGGTTGAAAAAATAGAAGGATAAAGCAAATGGGCAAAAGTAAATAATTGGTAAACCTGGGTGAAGGTATATGGGGAGGCTTTGTATGATTCATGCAAACTAGAAATGTTTTACAGAATGTTTACTTTTACTACCAAACCAAATTTGAAATCATATCAAAATAAAATATTAAAGAGCAGTAACATTCTGGTTCTAATATATATAGTAACGGTAACCCAATGGTGTTAGTGGAATTACTATTCATATTTGGCATACCAGAAAAATGAAGCACATATCCAAGTTCACACAAGAAGGTAAGCCAGTGGTATTAGGAACTGACACCAAGGTACATGGCTGTAGAGCACATGGTCTTAAACACAGTCCTTTACTTACCGGATAGTAAAAATTCACACATTATCTTTTCATCACTGTAAGAATGCTCATACTTTGTAAAGTTAAAATGACAACGTGCAAAATAGAAATGACCAGTCCTTCTAACTAATGTTATCAATGTATCTATATGTAAAGTAAACACTCTGTGGGACAATAAAAGGGATGGGATGTATGAGAAAAGGTAGTGCAGATATTCTGTATTAAAGACATTTATGACTGACTGAATATAGTCTAACTTCATGGGCAGGTAATATTTTGATTACTCATAAGCTTAATTATCTGGTTGTATTTTCTAACTTAAGGCAATAAATAGAGTTTCTCAGACAGATTTCTTAAAGCATACTTAGTTTTACACTGTATGTATCCTGAAGGACCTGAACCACAGTTCCCAGATTGATCGGTCTTAGAATTAAGGTGAGCATAACACTCTTCAGGACCAAAATCTGCACCTGGAAAAAAATGTGTGTTTAGTCATATTGAGCTTATGTTAATTTAAAATAATTTATGAGTATATTTAAAATTCTGATATGGTTTAAAATATACAAAATACACTCATAACACATATTGAAAAAAAACTAGATTTAAGATCACACAAAATAATTTCAATGAAATATTTAAAAATTGAAAGCACTCTTGCCAAAAAGATATCTTAAAATTAACCATGGTGTGCAGTTTATCTTCTAATTTTTAATAAGTCTAGATATCTATAAATGTATAAGAAACTTTAAAAGTTGACTTATTGGTCAATAACCTAACATATAAATATCATTTCAAGGCAAACCACTAACTAATATCTTATTTTTTCATATTTTTCTTAGAAAAATATTTTCATATTTTTCTTAGAAAAAAATCCTGGAGTCTCAGTTTTTACATTTACTATCCAATCCATGCACACAATGTGTTCAATTCTCATAAAATCCAACCAATGGATCTTATTTATTATAGCATCCATTAGTTCTATTGTAGTTGAAGGATGAAATCAAAAATCTTTGATAGGAAGATTTAACCACTGCATTATGGTGCTGAAGAAAATGGCACACCAAAAGAGGATCCACAGGTACAAATCTGGATCTCAGCTGAAACTCCCACAGGCTCTAGTAAACTGGAAATAAGCAGTTTATTTTATCCCAGAGGTCATTTTAAACCTGGTTATGGGTGAGAAGTCAAAATTATCGCTTAGCTAGGGAAGCAGGCCATTTGGTGGACATAAAAATAGGCCACGGTTGAAGGATCTTCATAGTTATAGTGACAAAATTAGAGATTCAAGAGCTCTCAACATATACTTTATTCCCTGCCTCAAGGATCATTCCTGCTTCTAAATGTGTGAAGAGCAGGAGATTAAAATATAAGACTTCCATAAAGCAGTGTGGATTTTTCTGCAGTTTCTGTGTTGTGGTTACATAGTTGCCAAGGGAAGGAGTCTCAGTAAATATACCAATTCCCAGTTGAAAACCCTAAAGAGTTATGGCCATAAAAACAACAGTAAACTAGATAGACTGAACGTTATTTAATCTCTAACCAAAACTTAATACATATCACTTTCTGATTTAATTAAAATGATTAGTTCCTCATTTCATACACTTAACAGAAGAAAAAGATGGATAATAGTAGTATCTGTGTAAAAAAATAAGCATTTTAGACTGAAAGCAGAGCTTCAAAAGGCAAAAATTAAAGACAATGAAAAAATTTAACTAGAAATGTGTCTTTTCATTCAAGAAAAAATATAAAGATATCTACCTATATTAAAATAGTTAAGAGAACATGATACATTGTATAAATTACAAAGATACAAGCATGCAAGAAGAAAAATATCAAAAATAAGCTGAAATAATTATGGAGAGGTTATTGAATATAATTGAAATTTTAAGAAAATCCATATGATAATACAGGATTTATACCAGTGTTCCTAGAAACTCACAGAACACTAAGAAGAATTACACACACATACACAAATACACCCAAACATATGACATGAAGACTGCTAAAAAACAAAGAAAATCTTGATGGCTTAAAGAGAAAAGAGACACGATTTGACAGATTTTCTTTAGAAAATATGGAAACAATATGACAATAAAGTAACATCTTTAAAATGCTAATAGGGATAGAGTTTCCATTTCAGGATGGCAACATAAGAAGATTCTGAAGTCACTTCTTCCCATAGACATACCAAATCTGTAGCTAGATATGGAAAAATTTCATCTCAAAAAACTAAAAACTAACTAAGCAACTCTTACACATTGGACAAAGGAGAAAACTCTCATAGAATCCAGTAGGAGAGGCAGAGAGAGACACCACACCAGACATGGCAATCCACAATCAGGAAGGAATACAAAACCCAGAACAATAACACTGAGAGTTGGAGTGGCTATAGAAACATCACACACACACACACACACACACACACACACACACACACACACACAAAGTATAAGAAAAAAAATGTTACTAAAGACAACCAAACAATTTTTACAATAAGATTGTCAACGCATGAAGAAATATTACAGAAAATATTACAAACATATCCCCTAGGAACAAAGCACCAAAATCTATGAAATAAAAACTGGCAGACTTGCAGGAAGAAGTAGGTAAAAATAATAGCTGACATTCTGTCAACTGTCAATAATGGACAGAAGAAATAGAAGATCAGTAAGGAAATACAAAATTAGAACAACACTACAAATGAACTAGCCATAACGTATCTATAGAACACTCTATCCAACAAGAGCAGGATACATATTCTTCTCCATGCATTTGGAAATTCTTCAAAATGGTCATATGTGAGGCCAAAACAGTCTAAGTAATTTGAGAAGAAATGAAATCATATGAATTATGTTCTCTGAATACTCAATTATGTTTTCTGAATACAATGGAATTAAATTAAAAATCAATAATAAAAGTACATTAGGGAATGTACAAACATGGTAATTAAAAATCACACTCCTAAATAACCAAAGCATTGAAGAAAAAAAAATCTCATGGGAAATTAGAAAATATTTAAGATGAATAGGAATAAAAACATGACATACAGAAATTTATGAAAAACATTGAAATTGCTATTTGGAAATTGATATCTGTAAATGCTTAAAATAGGAAAGAAATATTTCAAATTAATAACCTAGAATTTTATCTTAAGATATTGAAAAAAAAGTATTCTAAACATAAAAGGAACAGAAGGAAAGAACTAATAGGAATTATAGAAGAAAATGATAAAATAAAAAAGAGACAAGTGACAGGGAAAATCAACAAAACCAAAATTTGGTTCTTTGAAGAGATCAACAAGACTGGCAAATTTGAATTATTATCAGGAAATTTCCCATAATGAAAAGGCTGAGTGTGGATGACCTCACTGGTAAATTCTCCAAAATTTTCAGACAACATAATACATTGCAGATTGTTCCCAAAACTATGAGTAAGGAATGCTTTTTGTGTCATTCAATGTGACTTGATTATTAAAACAACACAAGACAGTTCAAAAAAAATGTTAGACAATATCTCTCACAAATATAGACATAAAAATTTCAAGAAATCTACAGAATTGGGAAACAAAACAAATGAACATGAGGGAAATAAAAGAGAGAGGAAAGCCAAGAACAAACTGAACTGTAGAGAACAAACTGATGGTTACCTGAGGGGAGGTAGGTGGGGGGGGGGTGGTTTAAATAGGTGATGCGGATTAAGGAGTGCAATTGTGATGAGCACTCATTGTTGTATGGAAGTGTTGAGTCACTATATTGTACACCTGAAGCTAATATTACACTGTATATTAACTAACTGGAATTTAAACACAAACTTTTAAAAAAATCTACAGTGATGAATAATAAAATGCCAGTAAACTGAAATCTAGAGCATATTAAAGCATTATTACCAAAACCATTAGCATATTCTATTACCAAGTAAGATTTGTTCCTGGAATACAAGGATGATGTCATATACCAAAATAGCAGAATAAAGGGGAAAAAACACATGATCATGTCAATTGATGCACAAGAAGCAAAACTTGATGCATTTTAATGATAAAAACACTTAACTAACTAGAAGTAGAAGGAAAGTCCTTCAATATAGTAGAGGCCACCTATAAAAAACACAGTTAATATAATAGTCAGTGGTGAAAAATTGAAAGCTTTTCTTCTAATGACAAGGAGCAACACAAGGATGCCATATTTTAGTAGAAGTCTTAGTCTAAAGCAAGAGGCAAGTGAAAGAAATGATAGGAACTTAAATTGGAACAGAAAAAGTTATCTCTGCTCATAGTTGCCATGATTGTATATATAAAGAAAATTCTAAGGATTTTACACACACACACACACACACACACACACACACACACACACATTCACACAACTAATAAATTCAGCAAAGTTTAAGGATACAAAATTTAAGGCATCAATTGCATTTCTATAATTAGCAATGAAAATTCCCAAAAGAAACCTAAGTAAACAATTTTATTTATCAGTGCATCAAAAAGAAAAAATACTTACAAGTAAAATTAACCAAAGTGAAATAAAATTTATACAATGAAATCCACAATGTGCTGCTGAAGAAAATTAAAGAAAACACAAAAATGGAAAGCTATCCTATATTTATGACTTGGAGGAAAAATATTAAGACGGCAATATCATCCAAAGTGAGCTACAGCTTCAATGCAAACCTATTAAAACACCAACAATGTATCTCTGCGGAAATAGAAAAACCCATCTTAAAATTCGTATGGAGTTTCAAGGTCCTGAAATCGTCAAAATAATCTTAAAAATGGAGAAAAAACTTGGAGATCTCATACTTCCTGATTTCAAAACTTACCACAAAAGCTACAGTATTCAAAACCATGTACATTGGCATACTAACATACGGATATATACACCAACAGACTAAAATAGCCACCCCAGAAGCAAATCCTTCCATATATGTCTAATGATTTTTATGTGTGCCAAAACCATTCAATAGGAAAGGACAGTCTTTTCGACAATTGGTGTTAAGAAAACTGAGTATACACATGCAAAAGAATGAACTTGAACCCTTACCTTACAGGATATTCTAAAATTAACATGAAATGGATTAGACACATAAATGTAAGAGCTACAAACATAAAACTTTTTCTTAGATATGCTGAGGATTAAGGAGTGCACTTGTTTTGATGAGTACCAGGTGTTGTATGTGTGTGTTGAATCACTAAATTGTACACCTGAAACTAGTATTACACTGTATATTAACAACTGGAATTTAAATAAAAACTTTAATTTTTTTATTTGTGTATAGTTGACACACAATGTTACATTGCTTTTAGGTGTACAACATAGTGATTCAACTTCTCTACACATTATGCGAAAAACTATAAAACTCTTAGAAGAAAATAGACAGGAAAAGTTTTTTGGCATTGGATTTAGCAATTATTTCTTGGATATAATGCCAAAAGCATTGGCGACAAAAGAAAATATAGATAAAAATGTTAAAA